ATGAAAAAAAAAAAAATTAGTAACTTCAACTGTTAATAGATTAAAAGTTAATTTTTTTTATTTATTATTAATTTTTCATACATGATATCAAATTTATAAAATCTTGATGAATTTATATTTGACATATGTATTGTACATACAAAATATGTAAATAATTATTTTTATCTATAGTTAATAAAAAGCTAATTAAATCCATAAGCAAAGTTTACTATAGTTAAAATAATAATAATGATAATAATAGTAATAATATAATCAAAAACCAATTCAAATCCATATAATAATAGTAATAATATAATCAAAAACCAATTCAAATCCATATGCAATTACACACTCTGGGCAAAGGGAAATAGAACATGACAGATAACATTCAAAACGATGGAGTTTAATGTTGGGTACAAAGGGAATGAGAACATGACATATAACATCCCAACTGCAACTATCTAGCTACTTGCGGGCCCTGGCGGACCTCCGCCCCCGATCGCTCTTAATAGTAACCTCCAGGTTCAGCTTCCCATCAGCACCCACAAAGTCCTTGGGCACGAGAAGATAACTGTTGCCAGGCTGCTCCCCCCCGAGCCAAACCGCTCTCGTCTCCGCCAGAGCCCTCAGCTTCGCGAAAACCACACCATCCGCCGCCACAACCTCGTAAACAAATTTCCTCTCGAGTGAGATGGGTCCAATGCACTCCACAGTAACCACGGTCCCGAGGCTGTTTTCCCGGCGGCTGAGGACAAAAAGCGTGTCCTCCGTAAACTCTTGTAAGAAAACATGCCTCTGATCGGTTTCCAAAGTGACCGAATCCTCACAGTTGAACATGAAACGCTGAGACGAGGCAGAGTGGTTGGCTGCAAAATGGGAGTTGACTGAGGAGTGGAGGCCCATGTAGGAGCAGTTGGGGTAAGGGCAAAAGCAAGGAGAGTGTGGGCACATATTTTCATGGTGGAGCTTATGGCTGAAGGTCAGGGACTCAGTGCACCCATGTGGGGCATTGCCGCATGGGACACGCATAGAGTCTATAACCCTCTCTAGAGCTCGGCATCTCTTGCTGCCAATAAGACAGCCGCAGCTGCCGCATTTTTCCATTCCGTGGCAACATGACCCGCACAACACGTGCCCGTTTTCACACTACACGCATTCACATTCAGGGATTAACTAGTAAATAAATTAGTATATAAAAAAAAAAAAAATTTCCAGAGAAGGAAGCAGATTTTTTTAAAAATATATTTAAGTGTCAATTATTAACTCATTGAGTTTGAAGATGTGTGAGAACCAAAGGATTAATCTATAAAAATGAATTAAGTAAGTAGTACCTCATACACGGGAGGGCTCAACGGTTCAAACTTCTGGATCGATAATGGTCACTGAAAGTGACTCCGGAGCGACATTCACCGTTTCCTCATATTCATCGTCGTTACCTTTATGGCCTTTTCTAGGCTTTTCCGACTGAGGAGTAGAATTGGTGTTTGCAGAGCAAGTATGAGGTCTTTTGGCCATTGCTTGTTAGACTTGACTTGAACGACCCTTCTGTGCTGCCCCTGTATTTATATACTACAGGCTTTCTTTCCTATTTAATTTATATATGCACTTTTATTTCTTGATTTTGATTTTGATTATATCCTTCTGCCTCTACTTACTTTATATATTTATTGATTATGGCGGTTGAGACTGTATGGATACTTGTTCAAGGCACCTCACATAGTCAAATATTCGAAAAGGCAAATGATTTAATGGACGTAATTTTTTAGGGAAATGATTTTATGTGTGTGGTTCTTATTAAAAACTGAATTAAAGAATTGTTAGTGTTCCAGTGGATGACTTGTCAATCTATATCAATTGAATAGCGCCGAGTGCACCATAACCTAGACAATCTTCTCTCCCCCCATAAACTCTTTTACACTTCTCCATGGCACATTATTTATTTAAAACAGTACACCTGCACAACTACAAATCAAAATTTATACTAGTATGTTATAGAATTTTTTACGGAAAAAAAAAAAGTTTACGGGACGCTTGTTTACCAATTAATTGGTAAAAACTGAGATAATTGAATATTTTGAATTATTTCCGTAGAAAGTGCGATTGTATACAAAATATTTGAACCCATCCTTCTGAAACACGGTCCCACTTGTAATCTACTCTTGTCCCCCATTAATTGTTTTCACTTGTAATATTAAATTCAAATAAATTGATATTGATGTGTAGTTCTGACAACAAGCAACCTACTACATTCACTCCTCCTTCAATTTCACGACGACCTCCTCAATAAATCTCCTTCATCTCCGTCTGAAAAAATCATGAGCTCCGGTGCAAATCCTTCTCTGCCCACTTCGGTTCCATCTTTTCGATTGCCGGAAAATTTGCTGGAGAAACGGGATCCGCACAGCGAAAGCACCGGCAGCGTGTCGGTGAACTCGCCCGAGAAAAGAAAAAAAAGGAGAAGAAAGGTTTGTTCGATTTTTATTTGTTATTCGTGCACCGTTTTTTCCGATTATATGATTCGGTGAATTTTTCCTTCAATTCGTCCAAAAAATTATTTTGTATATGCGATTTTGTTTAGTTTGGGAGCCGACAATTATGAATTAGGGATTACATATTGTACAATTTGGGAACCGGTATTTTGTGTTTCGCCTGCCATTCGTTATGATATGTTATAATATTTTAAGTGGATCTGGTTATTTTTTCTATTCTCTTTTGGGTTGAACTGTGCCTTGTTGTGTTGTGTTCATGAAGTTGTGTTTTCACCGGCAGCGAATGCGATTATTGTTCTGGTTGTAAGTGGATCTCTTATATGCCGCATTTCAGTTCTTGTGGTGGTGTTTTGTTGAATTTTTTTTATATGCTGACCTATTTTTTCGATTTACATTTGGGTTGTTGTCATGTTACACTGTATGTTTCATGTGAACAATACAATCTTGGAGCTGTTTGTTGTGAAAAAATGTAGATGTCCACATCCAATGACGCTGGCCCTTCGCAACACAAACAAGGAGAAGCAAAGTGGCCTCCAGAGAATGAGGCTCACTTCATATCGTTGATGTTAGACCAGGTTATCCTGGGAAAGTGCATCGGGCAGAAGTTCAAACAAGCCAACTGGATGGAGATCCAAAAAAAACTGAATGATATTTGTGGTCCTGACTATTATTACGAGATAACACAAATAACGAGTAAGCATGATCGATTGAAGCAGCAGTGGCGTCGGTTTTTCAAACTGCTTAACAAAGATACGAGATTCGGTTGGGATATAAACAGTGGAAAGATTACAGGCGGTGACGAAGTTTGGGCTCGGTGGATCACGGTTAGTGCACTATTTCTATTTTTGCCCATCTTTTTATGGTCTTAGTATGTGTACATTATGATGGGTTGAATTTTGAAAATGGTTGTTCATACACATAAATTGTTCTTAGTACGTACTCCTTATGATGGGTTACATGACTGCAACTTGGTTGACTTCTGAAATTACTGTAGGTGTTGTTGTACTATATTTGGTTTCAATTTCCCTTTAATAACATTCGCTTATTATGTGTCCACTCTTTTCGAACAATAAGGTCATCCACAGGACAATGACATGAAGAAAAGGGTGTGCGTGCACTATCGTGAACTGACCACAATTTTCAATGGAACAACTGCAACTGGGCGCGGTGCAAGGGCATCTACACAAACACCCGATGGAAATGGCAGGCGCCGAAGAACAAACTTGGCGACCTGTTCGAATTATTTGTTTCCTAATGAGTCGAATGATGAGGAAATGAATACCCCGGACAGTGATCGGACCATTCGTCGCCGTAGAGGGACGAATTCCACGTTTGACACAACCATGAATTCTATCACCGAAGCAAGTCGCATAATCCAGCATAATGCGCGCCCGAATCCTGAAAAGGATCAAGAGAGCCTTCAACAAGCTTTGAAAGCACTGGAGTCCTTGCCTAATGTCCCCATGGAGGTTCGAAAGTTAGCTTGGAAGAGGTTCCGTGACCCTTGGAGCCTGTACACGTTCCTTGGACTGGAACTCGAAGAAAACCGGCTTGCACTTCTACAAATGTGGATGGATGATGATGGCAAATAGGGCTGATGTTGATTGCCCTGCATTTTAAGACTATTTCACTTGAACACTGCTTGCCTGCTACTTTCAAATTATGAGAACTTATGTGTTATTAATTTGGTTTTTTTTTTTCTATGCATTTGTGTGACTTGAACTGTTTTTCTTCATCGTATTACTTGAGTTATGTGTTATTTGAATTTGATTTTTTTCATATTGTCTTGTTTAAAAGTAATTGTTCATTTTCATTTACAAGCCATTGTTGTTTTCAAAAACTGGCCCCAAAAATCTCCATTTGTAGGATGTCGCACATGGATGAGAACCAGGATTACGACAATGTCGAACATGTGGACGGTGAACAATTGAACGACAACGTGGTCGAAGATGTCAACGATGTTGCTGAGCCGTCTCATTTATCCCGTTTACAACAATTTACTAATATGCTTGAGTTTCAACGACAACAAATTATGCATGCGTACACAGCGTTAGAATCTAATACGCCTATGAGAAAGATCCCGTATCGCCAAACGACGTACACCGGAGCGGACTGGATTAACGAACTCCTATCGGGGCACGATCGAAGATTCTATGATGCAATGGGTATGAACAAGAAAGTATTCAAATTGCTTTGCCAAGAAATAAAACAGACGGGTTGCCATGGCGATGAAAGACAACAAAAGGTCCGCATTCAAGAAAGTGTTGCGGTGTTCTTGCATACGATAAAAGGTCACCAAAGGCATCGACGTGCTGCCGAGTCATTTAATCGATCCACCGAGACGATTAGTAACCATGTCCATATCATGGTCACTGCCCTATGCAAATTGGCTCCCAAGTACATACGTCCACCAGATTTTAATCGTGTTGCTGATTGGATACGAAAGAATAGATATTTATATCCATACTTTAAGGTGAAACGCATAAAAAAATTTTGTATTTTTTATGTTAAAACCTTTTTCATTTACAACTAAAATGTTTTATTGTTAAATCAGGATTGCATCGGCGCCATCGACGGAACCATCATACCAGCTTGGATACCTGAACAAGATCATGGAAAATACAGATGTCGCAAAGGTTACTTGTCCCAGAACGTTATGGTCGCGTGCGACTTTGAATGCAAGTTTACTTTCATTTTAGCGGGATGGGAAGGCAGCGCGAATGATGCCGGTATATTTGCTGAAACGTTGACTGACCCTACTAATACTTTCCCCTGGCCACCAGAGGGTATGTCCTGTTTTCTTCCCTTTCTTCGAACAGCTCGCACGACATTGTTTTTTTTTTTATAAACGCATAAGGTTATACTAACACAACTTCTTTTGAATGATAGGAAAATATTATGTGGTTGACTCCGGCTATGCCAATATCCCGGGATTCTTGTCACCTTATCGTGGCGATAGGTATCATCTGCCGGAGTGGATTCGGTCAAACCAAACCCCTCAAAATGCGAGAGAGCTATTTAACCGACGCCATGCAACGGTCCGGAATGTGGTCGAACGTAGCTTTGGTATACTAAAAGGTAAGTTCCCTATTATAAAAGGCCTAATGCCCAACTACCCGCCTGAGTTCCAGACAGACATAGTAATCGCCTGTTGTGTTGCACATAATTTCATCCTTGAACACCAAAATTTTGCTAACGTACCGCCTGCCATGCAAGACCCGGACTATATACCAGAACCAGATGAATACGACTTTACAAGGCCTTTAAGGACAACGTTAGATACCTCTAATGTTGGTTTACGTGAACAGACTGGTTTGCGCGATTCGATTGCCGATGCGTTGTGGCATGATCACACAAGCAGACAACGCTAGTTGGTGTATTACTCATTTTAAAATATGTTTTATGTATTAATGTTGTATTTGTACGACTACTAAGGTTGATAATGTTGTTTCCTAATTAGTATTGGAATGCTTTGCATGAATATTATTGTTTTGTCCAAATGAAAAATTATTACAGAAAATAGATGAGAATAGACGACACACATCCCGTGATGAGAACATACGACACAAAATAGAATGACGAGAAGCCACGACACACATCCCGTGACACTTGACACAATTTATTTGAATAGTTCGAAATATAACGCAACAGTTGACACAAAATTATACGCGACGGCAATCAATGTCCTCTCTTTTTCTTTCGTGCTGCCATACGACGTTCTTCCGCCCAGTACTCGTTAACAACTTGGTTCAATTTGCGAGTGTTACGTTTATGTATTGATTCTATTTCACCAGGATATGACTCAAGTTGTAGGGGTTCGAAAACTATTTTTAACGTTTCCCAGAGAGGCTCTGGATTGTTGCTGCAATAATGTTCGGCTAATGGCCAAATCTGAGAGAATTTGATATACTAGATTTACACTGACTAATAATAACAGATTTGGGGCAAAATAAAAGTAGGCAAAATATAAAATATGAAAGGAATTGTAATACTTTTCGCATACCTCAAACGCTTCCTCACGGTCGTCCTGTTCAGCCTAAAACAGTGTTGAAGCTCTGCAGCGTAAAACGGTGTTGAAGCTCCCGTTCAACCTGATTTTCGGTGTGGATTGTGACGACGAAATCGGTCAAGGAGGTTCGGTCGAACCACAAACAGTTGTCGGTCATAATGGCCTCTGCACGCACAAAGGCTAGCCATCCTTCATCAAACACCACCCGACAAAGATTACCTCTCATTGTCACGTTATACCTTCGACCCTCTCTGGTGGTAAGGGTGCACTCCACAGGCAAAAGGTGGCTATATTGATGGTTTAGCTCGTCCGGAAGCTTCTGTGTTTACCCAAAAAAGGAACCAATTATACGATTTATGTGACTTTACAAAAAATCTGAGCACATCAAATAAACACGATGATTATTATTATACGCAAACGTACCAATGTTCGCTTCTCGGCATTCACAATGTACTTGAAAAATCGCTGAAAGTGCTCGGACATGGTGTCTTACCGTGTTATCTATAAGGATAGTGTTATATGGTTAACAATATGTTCCGAGTGCTGCGGCCCAGTAGCCGAAAAAAATTGAAGACAAAAACACCTCTGCAGCTCTGCAGCACTTTAAACGGGGCAAACAACATGAACAATTAAGGAGAAATCTATTTGTGGGTAGGGTCTCTTCAATTTTGTGTTAGACATGAACAAACTGAAATCTATTTTTTCAGTTCAATTTATTGCTCTTCTTTCGATTTATGGGTAACCACATGAACAAACTGAAATATATTTTTTCACGACCAATTTCAGTGCAATTTATCATACAGTTAAACATTCTATTATATTTACAGTTCAATTTCAGCAACTTTCATGACCGGAGTTGGGAGCAAAATACCTTGGAGGCGAAGATCGAAGGCCGGTGGAGGAGGCTGGAAGCGGAGGCCGGACGCAGAGGTTAGAGGCGGAGATCGGGCGTTGAAGGCCGACACCGGAGTCCGACCGACGGGTGACGGTGCGTGGAGACGAGGAGGTGAGCGCGGGACGAGGCTAGGGTTAATAGTAGTGGAAGATGATTTTTCAGATCTGTAAAAATGACTGATAATAAAAAACAGGTGTTAGAGATGTCATTTTTCTTCACAAAAAATGACGGAGATTCCAAGTACAACATTTCCACTATTGTTTATACATAATGGCATTAATGTAATTATTGTTTTTCATAACTTAAAAAAAAAAAACAAAGCAATATTGTTGCAGCCTCGTGTGTTGAGAAAATGTCCAAACCACAACCAACATAAGGCCCCACACGGCTCGCCCCTCAAAAGTGATGAAAATGCAATTTTTTCTCAATTAACTCAAATCCAATTAATTCACTTTTTGGACCAAATTAATTGGTAAACAAGCACCCCCTTAGTGGTGGAAAAAAAAAAAAGGGTGGAAAAAAATAGAGAGCCTGAATTTTGTTAATATGGTTTTTGAAAAAATTATTTGAAAAATGTATTCCGTGAATACGTTTATTTTTGTCCACTTATTATTTTTTATTAATACATATATAAATTGCCCGTATGTTATATGTATATGTATGTAATATTAGATTTTATAAATAAAAATTTATACTAGTATGTTATATATGTATGTATGTAATATTTAAGATCATAAGTTAGATAATAGCATATCAGATTATATAAATTTCATCAGTAATTAGTAAATGAATGATAAACTATTAACTTACATATTAATTTTTATATCGATTGCAGTTATTGGATTTGTTCACCTCACCCACTGTGGGCAGGTGAGCGGCACTGTTGCAGTTATTTAATTTTTGCAATTTTTTTTATTATGAACAATTAATTATATAAAATAATATTGAAATTATTATTATTATTTATTATTATTATTATAGTAATTGTGTTCAAAATTTTAAAAATTTTGGTTATATCATAAAAATTAATTAATGTTAATAAAAACACTTGTTTAATGAGTTACAATAAAAAAAATCAAATATATAGTTTGAAAAAAAAGTTTAAATTATAATACATTTAATGTGACTTTATGATTTGTTAGGAGTAGTTGTTATATAATAAAATAAATAAAAAATATAAATACTTAAGTAATACTCCCTCCTTTTTTAAATAAATGTCGTTTTGACTTTTTTGATTCATCCATTTTGTTATGTATCTAGACATATTAATGTCTAGATACATAGCAAAATGGATGAATCAAAAAAGTCAAAACGACATTTATTTAAAAAAGGAGGTAGTACAAATTAACCTCTTTTGGAGAGAAAAATTTTGAGGTTTTATTAAATGTTTGAATAGTAATTATATGTATATAGATTGCAAGAATTATGAGTTTTACCAATAGATTTTTTTGTGGTTAAATAGCTTGTTTATTAATTTTTGTAAGAAGAAAAATACAATTCGTTGGGAGAATTGCCAACAGATTACAACAAAGTAGTTGAGTTGCTAAATCATTCCGTTGGCATATTACTAACAGAAAACCAACATATTAGTTATGAATACACCAACGAATATATCAGAATATATTACAAACAAATTGTTTACCAAAGAATTGCCAAATGATATTTTTTCCTAACCGATTACCAACAGATATTTCACCAACAAAATAATAATGGAATTTTCCCAACAGATTATCAACGGAGTTGTTCCCAACGAATTACCAACGTATTGTTTCCTAAATCCTTTTTTTTTTTCTTTTTTGTTTTATGAGTTTCACATGTTTCCCTATTAATTTTTATTAGTGTGTATCACGTGCTATGCACGAAACTTTTACTTATAATCTTTTGAAAATTTTATTTTAAGCATAATTATTTATATTTAACATCTCATTATTACAAAAAAAGAAATACAAAAATATGAAAAAACAGGCACATATACAACTAAATTAATTAATTTTATATTCATGTTTTATTGATTTTATATTCGAATTAAATATCATTTTACTTCCTAAATTATATATCACCAAATTTGTTGTGTGACATAGATTTTATTTTCAACTTTAAATCTCATCAATTTATAATTATTTTCAACTCTCTACTATATTCTTACTCCCTCCGTTTAAGAATAAGTGTCGTTTAAATTTGTAATTTTAGTGATTTTTCAAATGTTGTTTTAGATGTATTTATGTATTTTCTTATTTTATCCTTACCATAAATCCTAAAAAATCTCATATTTGGTTCTCATCGAGGAAAAAAAAAAAAAAAAAACTCATACAAAAGAAAACAAAAAGTAACATAACAACACTAACAACTTCCACGCAATGAGAGAAAGTGAGTATATATATATTAAAACAAGACATGAAGTCTCTACAATGACACTGTAGGGCAATTGAAGGGATGTGGCGCAGCTTGGTAGCGCGTTTGTTTTGGGTACAAAAAGTCACGGGTTCAAATCCTGTCATCCCTACCTAATTATTGCCCCTTTGAGTAGTAACGAGGAACCAACTGAGATCGATTCAAGTTGCCCAGAATCATTCATTTATTTGAAACTATAGAATATATGCATATAAAATGATTTAAAGTGGATTAGGGTTTGAAAAAGAATTCTTTTCTTTATAGTCTTTTCTATTCGGATAAGAAAGCACTCTTAGTTCAGTTCGGTAGAACGCGGGTCTCCAAAACCCGATGTCATAGGTTCAAATCCTACGGAACGTCATTTTTTCTTCGTAGATTGAATTAGACCGAAATGAATTCAATCACTTGCACAGTAATTCGAATTTGACCTCATGTAGATTAAAGAAAGGAGGAGGCCAACCAAAAAAGAAATCTTCCATTAGTTAATCAAAGGTCTAACTGATCACCACGCCTGTATTGTAAATATGCAGTTACGAATAATCCAGCCAAAGTAATAGGAATTAGACCTAACACGATTCCAAAGAGAAAAACTTCACCATTTCTATTTTTTTGAAAAGGGAAAAAAAGGGGGGTAATAACGTATCTATACCTAAATATTAATCAAAATTGACGTGAATCTCAAAGGTCAAAAATTTTAAGTTGGCCCTGTAAGTAACTATAGAATACACAGAATCTTACAGAAGAATTTTCTTTATGACTTTCTGAATTGTTTATTTCCAATAGAGAAATTTTAAATAAGTCGTATCCTATTTAGCCCAATAAATAGAATTGAAGTTATCGTTAAAGCCATCAATAGAAAACCGAAATAACTAGTAATAGTAAGCATGAAGGGCTTAAATGAAATAAGGTCTTTTTATACATATCTTTCTAAAGCATTTACCTAAATTTTGATTTTTGTAAACTCAAATATGAGGAAAAATTCCAACAGAGGGGGATCAATTGAAAATTTTTTATTTATCTATCATTCTAAATGGCACGAATAAAGAGAAATTGACAGACATATAAAAGAAGCCGATCGATAATTTCTAATATTTAGCCACCTTGCCGCTCGTATCGACCGGGTCGTTGGGCAAAAACTAATAAGAAAAAATAGAAAAATTAGAAAATTCCAAAAACGAAAGGATTCGGTTTGAAGAGCAAAGGGCAATTAATCAAGTCCGACAACGGGTTTCCCAACAAGCCTTACAAGGAGCTATAGGAACTCTGAATAGTTGTTTGACCGCCGAGTTACATTTACGTACCAATAGTGTGAATATTGGCATGTTGGGAGCGGTGAAAGAAATAATGGATTAGTCTTTCTACTATTTTCTATTATCTACTATAAAAAAAAGGGTATTATTTTTGGAAAAGAAAAAAGAATTAAGAAAAATTCATGGTAACCATTCTTGCTGACGAAATTAGGAATATTATCCGTGAACATATTGAACAATACAATGGAGAAGTCAAGATTGTAAATACCGCTACGGTACTTCAAGTAGGCGATGGTATTGCTCCTATTCACGGTCTTGATGAAGTAATGGCGGGTGAATTGATTGAATTTGAAGAAGGTACAATAGGCATTGCTCTTAATTTAGAATCAAATAATGTTGGTGTTGTATTAATGGGTGGTGGTTTGATGATACAAGAAGGAAGCAATAGAATTCTAATAGAATATTAGAATCTATAATCTTAGTTAGAAAAAAGGAAATAAGCGGGTAGCGGGAATCGAACCCGCATCGTTAGCTTGGAAGGCTAGGGGTTATAGTCGACGTCGATTCGGCGTCTCTAATTCAAAACCGAACATGAAACTTTGCTTTTATTCGGCTCCTTTATGGAAGATGAGTAAATTCCTAGATCTAAGATGTGAACAAAATTATACCAATAAGACCTATGTCAGTTTTTTGTCTGAATACAAACAAAACCAATCGCTTTCTAGATGATCCTTCTAGAAGAAGGTGATTCTAACAATCTTTCTAGTTATTTCTTTCTCTATTTCTATTTGTAAGGATCCTAAGGAAAAGTGTTTTGTTTCCACCGAGCTAAAACAATATGCTGATGTCTCTAATAAACCAAAGTCACCACATAATAGCTATTTTGCTTCAATTTCTTTCTTTAGAACTCTAAAAAAATAGAAGATTTAGTTACGATTAGAAATTGT